ATAGTGGGATTGACCGTACCATTATAACGCCCCCACGGCTGAAAGGGCGAGCATATTTGGTGGGACGGGGACAGACCAACCAAACACAATTGGTATATTTTTATTGGAACTATTGATAGTTTAAAATTCCGGTATTAAGTCACACAAAATGAAAGTCTAATGTCAGGATAAGTACACATTTATATCTTTTAACAGATACGTTACAGTCTACAATGCCTGGCACTTTAAAAAATTCTGGTGTTTATAGCATTTTACACATTACATATTCTGATGTTTACAGTACCTTACATTATAACATCTCTTGATATATATATTACTTCAAATTTCAAAATTTTCCAGTAGTTACTTACATTTAAATATCTTCAGGTGTTTACACTACCTCAATTTTTAACATATCTTGATGTTTACAGTATCTTATATCTTACACTTCAAAATTTCCTGGTTTTTACAGTAACTTACATTTAAACATCTTCAGGTGCTTACACTACCTCAATTTTTAACATCTCTTGATGTTTACAGTATCTTATATCTTACACTTCAAAATCTCCTGGTTTTTACAGTAACTTACATTTGAATCTCTCTAGGTGTTTACTGTACCTTACATTTTAACATTTAAGATAATAAAAATTGCGATTCTAAATTCCAGAAATGTTTATAACAGGTTTTTAACCTTTCGGGTTGTATTCTAGTGTTTAATGCTTTTTGCCGCCTTCAAAATGTTTTTTGCTTATTCTCTCCTTATGATGATGATTGATCTCCTAAGGCTTCGCTACGTTCCTTAGTATTCAGCGTGCGGAGAATGGTGAAGAAGATCACACAGTGACAACCTTCTCCTTTCGGCTAACCGCAGGCCTTACACCTGTTACAGGACAGACGATGCATCTTGGTCATAGTGATTTGTGACCATAACGATAGTGACTACTAGAAAGTACTACCCATAATGCTACCATCACTTTTACTTAGAAGTTCACATGAGCGCAAGCTCTCTTATTATAGTTGATGGCTTTTGTTTGTGGTCCAGTCGACTGCAGTGTCATATAGACTGTCTGCACCATCGCTTCCGACTAACAAAAAAGAATAGAAAAATAAAACATGCTAAAAATAAATAAAAAAAGGTAACATAAGCTACAGCAGTTCAACAGTATTAATTTCTTACCCACGCTGAGCGTAATATTTATTTCGTTATAATAAAACACGTTTTCTGAATTAACAATGCTACACTCTTCTCTTCGTAATGAAAGCAGTAATTGTGATAAAAGATGAAACAGAAAAGTTACATTATTGGAATGAAATATCCGATACTGGATTTTAAGGACATGACAACACCAAAACCGGAGTGAGTCGTTTCCATGACGACTACTTGCGCAGGTTTCCTGCATGTCTCAACAAACGTACTGTGTTGCTTCTCGTATACCGCATTAAACAGATTAATTCTCTCCAGCTAAAATGTGCTCACAGATGTCTTGTTTCAAAGTTTTGTTCTTTCCGCCTAAAGATTGATTGTAATGTCACAATGGGCCGAAATTGTACTTTTTTAACTCTGTTTGGATGAAAACATGGGCCATCGGAAACAGCACAATATCGTTTTCAGTAGTTAAAATAGATTATGTTCACCCATTTGTGATTAATTGATAGTTTAAACCTTAAAATATACCTTGATTCAGCCATTAGTAATTGTATTCAGTAACAACCGTAGCTGTATTTCGTTCAGCAGTTGAAAGTACAAGTTCTGGTTAAATCATTAATTAACAATTATGTTCTAGTTCAGTCGTAACTAATTAGGTTTCGGTTAAATTATTAAACAGAAGTGCCCCTATAAGCCAGTTTACTCCTTCAGAAAACAAAGTCAGAGACTGGCCTATGTAAAACAGTTTACTCCTTCAGACAACAACGTCAGAGATGTCCTACATAAAACAGTTTACTTCTTTAAACAACAAAGACAGAGATATCCCCTATAAAACAAATTTACTCCTTCAGACAACAAACTTAGAGAGAGATTCCAGTAAAATATTTACTCTTTCACACAGTAGTCAAAGATGGGTTCGTGTGAAACAGGTTACTCCTGCAGACACCAAAGTCTAAAATGGGCCAGTCCAATGTAAAACAGTTTGTTCATTTATAAAACAAAGTCAAACAATGCCCCTGTGAAATGTTTAATCCTTAGAACAACAAAGTCAAAAATAAACTAATATCAAATAATTTACTCTTTCAGACAACAAAGTTAGAGTTGGGCCCCTGTAAAATGTCTATTCCTTCAGACATAATAATCAGAAACTGGCCACTTTAAAAATCTTTACTCCTTAAGAAAATAAAGTCCAGCATGGGTTAATTTGGAATAGTTTTTTAGTGAGTTAGAGATGATTCCTGTGAAAAGGTTTAATCTTTCAGACAACAAAATCACAACATTTTACAGCTCAAGATCCACATAGTTATTTGGCAGAGTAGTAAAGGCCTACGTATGCATTTGACAACTCATTAATTCAGGAAAGTCACAGCTTTTCTGGCCCGCGGTAGCCCAAAGCTGCTTGCTTTATGACCTACCGTTGAGAATTATTGGTGTAATGAAATATAATGTACTTATTCAAACAACAATGTTATAGATAGGTTCCTGTAAAGCATCTTGCTCCTTCAAAAAACCCACCAAAAATCAGATATCGGGAGTTTAAAATGCTTTACTCCTTTAGACAACATAGTAAAAAAAACAACAACAACAACCTGTAAAACATTTTACTATTTCAAACACAAAGTCGAAGATGGACCACTTATAAAGTCTTTCTTTACTCCAGGCGATAAAGACTGTCAGAAAACGACAACAACAAGAAAGATGGAACAAAAACAAAAAACATTCGCTATTTAGATTAAAATAATTATAGTGAGTTTACCTATTTCACTAAACACAAAACTTTGGTAGTTTAACTGCATTCCAGGAGTAAAATACACGAATTTAACTATTTTACCGAATATCAAACATTAGGTAGTGTAATTACATTACAGGAGATATATATATATTTCACTAAACATCAAAATATAGTATAACAGGAGAGATACATAAAGCAAATAATTCTTACCTTAAAGAAAAACAAACAAATCAAAAACAAAAACCTGATTAACTAGCAGAAGCATAGTGAACCTAATTTCACTATTTTCCCCCTAAGATACGTGTTCTTAGGGATAGGTGAAAAGTAACACTTCTTAAACAACAACAGTTTTATCTGATAATAGATAAGTTTTGGTAGTATATCTCTTGTTATAACTTAAACTTCTTATGGGTATCTTTCAAATTGTGACTAAATGCTGACAAACAATTTTTAATTTGAGCGAAGTCTCATCCTGTTCAACAGGAAGACTGAAGAAATAAAATCGCAAGTAAAGCTCATTTATAAACCTACAACATGTTTTGTAACGTTTGGAACTGATTACAACTTCTAGTTATATCGGTGTCAGTTTGTTTGTTTTAACTCGCGCAAAGCTACAAGAGAGCTATCAGCGCTAGCCGTTTCCAAATTAGCAGTGATAAACTAGAGGGAAGGCAGTTAGTCAACACCACCCACCGACAACTATTGGGATACTCTTTTACCAACGAATAGTGTGACTGACCGTCATATTATAACGCTCCACGGCTGAAAGGGTGAGCATATTCAGTTTGACGAGGATTCGAACCTGCGACCCTCAGAGTGAGGGACGAGCGCCCTAACCACCAGGCGTGTCAGTTTGTATAGTCCAGTCCATTGAAACAAAAAAAATATCTGTATTTTTTTCGTGACGTGACAGTCAGAGATAATGAACTTGGAGGGGATTCAGTGCTGGACATACAAAGAAATATTAAAAAACTGATATCCCTGGAAGGAAGAAAACAAATAACTGAGGAAGGTGCTTTTTCTTTAAGTTAATATCACATTATCTCCACTGAGCCTTGAATCTTCGTAAACACATAAACATGTATAAACAATATATAAAATTAAAAACATAATTATTTTCAGTCTCGTCGTAAGTGACCCAATGGTTAGTGCGCCAGAACTATGAATCTAATAGTTCTTGGGCTGTGACCTGTTGCTGCAAAAAACGCATAAACATGTATAAACAATATATGAAATTAAAAACATAATTATTTTCAGTCTCGTCGTTAGTGGCCCAATGGTTAGTGCGCCAGAACTATGAACCTAATGGTTCTTGGGCTGTGACCTGTTGCTGCAAAAAACGCGCTCTGCATTTTGAGGCTGTAATTTCTCTATTAGAGTGACAGTCAAATTCCACTATCCACTTAGAATAGCCAAAGAGTTGGCGGTAGATGCTGTCGATTAGTTTCCTTCCATCTATTTTATAAGTTTAAAATTAAGGAGGGATATGCGTAGATAGCCCTTGTGTAGCATTGTGCGAAAATATAAAACAAACTTTCAAATTTCTTATTTGATATAAACGCAAGAAACCTCCAGTTTAATTTTAGATATGTTACAAATAATATCCCAGTTGTAAAGTGTACCTTTTGTAATTTGTATGGAAAACGTTTTGTGACGTCACCACTGAAATTCGCAGTATCAATTTATAACTCTTCGTGAGAAGTTGACAGGGACGACGTTATATTAAAGAACCATCATTAATCTTACCTTACACCTCAAGAATAATAGTTCATATATATTTCGCTTTTACTTCAAAAGGAAAATAAGTAGACTTCGTGCGTGGCATGATCTCCACTCTCACATCTTCAACTGCTTTGTCTTTAAGTTCGACGTCCTCATCTTCTGAATACAATAAATCATTAAAATCACAGAAATACATGTAAATGTTGGAGACGTATCTCCTCATACCTTTTTTTTTGTATATGGAAAAGCTTTTTATTGGAAATTATTTTAATGACACAAAGGTTTCCATAAATGTTTTAACACTTATCAATATTACATTATGACTTGGAAAAGCAGTTTTAAGATAAAACTAACGTCAGTTTTATGAAAACATGAAATCATGTAATACTAACGAAAAAAAAAGTGAAATTTTTTTGAAGACGAAAATTTACAGCTAGATGGGGTTTTTTTAAATTCAAACTCGCGAAAAATAATTACCTAATTATCCTTGGTTCAGCCATACCATATCCTCTATTATAACAATGTAACATCCCGGTTTCAGGTAAAAAAAAAAACTGGTGTTTTCTAAAACCTTTTGAATCATTAATCAGGCTCCTACTTTCTGACATGAAGAAAATTTTTGTTCTTTTGCAATTACACGGTTCTTGGGGATGTTAATGGGCTATCGAGTCTAATCACTCCTCTCGTTCAGTAGCGACAAGTCTATCAGTTTCTACTCCTTGAAAGATACGTCAGTTTCTCTTGAAGTGAGAATTACCTGCGTATAAGGATCTTATATTTCATCTTCTCCATTTCAAGTAGCTGCTAAATTGTTGTTACCTAAACTAACGAAATATGATAGATACTAACAGACTTGGGAGTTTGTTTTAAAGAAGTATAGTTTTGGCCAAAATGTTTGCGTATTGTTCTATATTGATGTTATTGTCTACATGCATGGAGTAGTTATTGAGTAAATGTCCAAGTAGTAACATAGAAGGTAGCGTATGATTGGACGAACATGGATGAGTTATTATTTTGGTCTGTATAAGTTGAATTGTGTATCTGTTCGCCAAACCACACATACACACCTGTTTTGTATAAAAGGGCGTGGTTTAGATGTAATCTTTTTCTAAACAGATCAATGCTTTGTTCAAACAATGTCTCTGTACTTGGTGTAGAGTCATGCTTCGTCACGTGCCAGAAGTTATAGGGCGTCAAATTGCCAACTCCACAGAAATGATATAAAGCAAACTGTCATTACTAGAACATTAGGATACTCCCAGAATCCTGACACTTCATCGGACTACAGGAAACGTTGTTCCTGGAAAGTCTACTGGTAGAAGCCGAGAGACTACTACCAAAGATGGCCGTGTGTTGATCAGGTTGACACGCCAAGGTCGAAAGAAGTCTTGAAATACCTTACGACAAGAATGGCATGAACACATTCATTCCAGAAGAACAGTGAATAAGAGACCAACCAAACAAGGTTTTTTTTTTGCAAGAAGGGCTATCTGCAAACCGATATTAACAAGCATTCACCGCTGTCGCCGTATTACTTGGGCAAGACAGCATGCCAACTTACAGTTAGGACACTGGCGACGTGTCATCTTTTCAGATGAGTTTTGTTTCGGGCTTGTTAAAGCTGCTGATAGGATTCGTGTTCGTCGTTTGCCTGGAAAACGTATGAGGGAAGACTGCCTTTCTCACAGGGAACACGCAGGAGGCGGTGCAGTACATGTTGGGCAGCTATTCATTATGGTGGAAAAACTGCTATTCATATCTTGCAAGGAAATGTTAATGGCGCCTCCTACAGAAATCATATGGAGATGATATTTTTGCCATATACTAGGGCTAGGTTTGGCAATAACTTTGTACTCTAGGATGACAATGCCACTGCCCACTGTGCGTGTATCTTACAGGATTATCTCGACCAAAAGGACGTTACAAAATTACCATGGCCAGGAAAGTTTCCAGATTGTAATCCCATTGAGAACTGTTGGGCAGGACTGAACCGGTAAAATCCCGAAACGATCCTAAACCAGTTACTGTAGCTGCATTGAAGCGCCTTTTAGTGACAAGTTGGGATGAAATCACGGTTAGTTACATCAAAAACCTCATCGACAGCATGCCACGTTGCCTTGCAGAGGTTAATAGAGTACAAGAAGGACCAACCAAGTATTGAATGTTTAATATGAACTGATATAACGTTACAGACGCTATTTGT